ATTGTGTAGTAACTGAATATTCATTCCCTATGTGGGGCGAGTTGAAGCCACTTCTTTACTTGTTGATCCAAGTGAAAGCAAAATAAAATTATCTACCATCCAAGAAAACCGAGACTGATCATGCTTAACAAATCCGTAAATTGCATTTCACGCAACTCCTCGATTTCAGAGCTCGCTCACTCTCTAGACGCTGTGCACGATATTCGATACGCCCAGTTCATTGTTCACCTATTGGCTGTCTACCTCAATTGCATGTCTGTCACCAGTCCCGTTTATCTGATTGGTGAATCTACTGCCTATCACGACAGGTGCTGATAAATCGACCTTTTAAAATCAGTAGCATTTGAACCACAAACAACGATCTTGTCAAGTAAGTTGCGCTGTTTGAGTGTGCAGCTGTTTTACGTGTATATTGTGGTGTTCTATTAATTGGTCAACGAGAGGATGTTTACTTACTCTATACTTACACGGTTATTGAGATTTTATGTAACTGGATGAGAACTAGAATAATGGTGTTATGTACAAATATAATAGTTAATAATCGTGAACTTTTAATGAGTTTCTTTTCAAAATTATCATCCTCAATTGTGTAAATGGCGTGAATGGCTTATCACTTTAGGAGTTACCTTGGTAACAAATGTTTTTGTTGGGTGGTTTTGACCGCAATCTTTCTCAGCTGTATGATTCTGTAATTTCTGACCATCTATTAAAGAATACATAAACTGCAGTACGTGCCCACGTACAGATCCAGCGAAATAACGATTCAGGGGATACACTGTGCAAATCGGTGTTTGTGCATCCAAGTTCCTTTCAATTCGTTTTCCATCGAGATGTAGGACGAACCCCCCTCCACAGTTTTTGACCTAGTGGACTGTTCAAGTGGTGTGTTCGTCACCATCGTCACCTCGTGTTTTCGAAACTCGTTCATCGCGCTACCGTTCTCTATCACTTTTTTATTTCTCCTTCGATTGACTATTTCGGGAAAATTGGAGTATCGTTATATATGGATCGTTAAAATGTGATGTTGTCGGTATTGTTTCATTCAATTTTAACAAACGCTGGACAATGTGTTTGGTCTAAGTAAGCTTTGTCTATTCCGTACGAGATAAATGCACTTTGTTTGCAATTAAACCTATTTTCTAATAGCCGAAAAAGCGCCATGGACAGCTGCTTTACGTATGTGGGAACTTGAATTTGTGGATGGAAGAGATCCGTCGCCTTGTGGTTTCCGACAATCGATGCATACATAGTCTGGCCTAAGTGGGATGAAGTGAGCGGGTTAGTAACGTAGAAGTAAGTCGTCGGATATTTGGAAATGCATCGAACACGAACTCGCTATTTCATCGAATTCAGCTCAATAGACTCCGTTGGTTATGACACGTTTTGCGTATGTCTGATGGTCGCCTACCGCAGCGTGCATTATTTGCACTGATCGCTGGAGAACATGGCTGCGAACCGATAGCAATGGTGATCTTGCTGTCACCTCTTATCAGACTTGAAAACGTGCATTGCACAATTAGACTGTGTACTCGCCCTGTGTGGACCATAGAGGTTCACTTTCTTCTCCCGTCACTAAAAATAAACCCAGTCCCTCTCCATCTTGTACTTTGTCACTTCATTTGTGTACATTGGGAGCTTGACAGCGATCAGTGAAGTTCGCTTCACCGTATTACTCTGTACAATGATGATGAACAGCTGTTTCGACTTTGCGTGTTGGCGTCAACCAGCCATGCAGACTGGTGTCCGTGAAAGTGGATTATGTGAATCCTCAAAGATAACGCCACAAAGTCGTAACGAAGTTGTGAACTGTTTGGCAACAATCAGTGATGTTCGCTTCATTACTTTTTGATAATGATGATGATGATAATGTTGATGATTATATGTGGCATTGACAATGGGGGTTTCAGAACGAACCCTAGGGTTCACGATATAAGTACCAACAGGGACGATGGTCACCGATGGTTAGAGACACTGAGTGATATGGATGGGTATCGCAAACCGTGGCGCTCTGGCATCCACTCATTATTCTCCTAAAACCGCTCTATATGAATTCTCCATTTTCCGCTTGAATTTGCTCTCAACGATCCAATCTTCATCTTGCTCTTTTATCCAAATGGGCGGTTAAAAGACAGCAACTAAAACCGGCGTACGAAAGTACACAGTCAACGGTTGTAAAAACTGAAACTGAAACTGAGACCAACAGGGACACAAAACTGAACACCGTGCCGATGTGTTTGGTTCATTTGGCCCATTCTTTTACCGTAACAGTTCCTCTTGTGACAACTCCTGAGGAGTCAGTTTGATCAGTATGTATTGTCTCTAGAATACTCGCGGGAATCATACTCCGTCTACCGAATGCGAACGGTGCACGCGTAAGAATCAGGCTGACTCTAGACCCAATCTAGGATGTATCGACCACATTCTCACACTGGTACTGCCCTTACCCGGAAGGGTGTACCGAAGAAGTTTATTCCATTTTGTCATCTCATTCCGGAAACCGAGTCCGAGCCTGCGGTACTTTTTCGCCGGGTTCATCACTGTTCGTTGTGGTCCATCTTCTTTTCTATTTGGTTATAGAAACAGCCCTATCCTCGTGCGAGGATAGTAGAATCAGATTGCTCCCAGACGGCAAATTTTCTGATCCTGAGTATGCTGTTAGGTAAAGATCGAGGTAAGCTGCAAGCTTTTCCGGGTAGTTTGAGCGCCAGCGTAGTTATGTTCGGTATGCGTTTTATATCTTCAAAGTATAAAATGTTACAACAAGATTGGGTTGGTTCAGCAGCCAGCCTCACTTACTGAGGAACCAATAGACGAAGTGGACGAGTTTTGTTATTTGGGCAGCTATATCTCACGCGGTGGACGCATCACCGATGAAGTGTCAGTACGCATACAGAAGGCTCGATTGGCATTGGCCAACTTGAGACATCTGTGGCACCGTCGCGACATCCGGCTGTCTGTGAAGAGTCGAGTATATGCTGCAGCAGTTCGACCAGTTCTGCTGTCCAGCACAGAGACCTGTCCATTACAAAGACCGGATAAATGTAGACTGTCATTATTCATTCAGGGCCATCTACGTCACTTTTCATGGATCTGGTGGGGCAACCGAACTGAGCAATGCTGGGGTTGGGCGCAGCGTGGCACGGTTGAGTGTTGTAAACAGTGGCGCTCTTGTATGTACTCAATGCTTTTGCGACCTTAGTCTTCCTGAATGCTCTATTTTTATTATCTTTGAAACTGATTTGAACGTTTCAATCTTCCCTTAAATCCTTCATCCGATTGGGTAGTCCTGAATCAGCAATCACAACCGGCGCAAGAAATTGCAAGTGTAATGGTTGTACAAACTGAATACTGAAACGTCCTATACATAAAAGTGATAACTTAATTAGCTTTTGAAGAAAATTTTAGGTCATACGGTGTTAGACAACTGTAGTACGTGTCGACGTGATTATGGGCTTGGCCTGGGCAATCTGGCAGTATTCAGCCCACAAGCCAATCATGGAACGTTTTTCTGATTTATTAAGATTGTTGTACCATGGTTTTCTTGGCACACAGTCTATCCTCAGACATGTGTGAGATAGAATATATATGCTGCAAACAAGGTTGTTGTGACGAAAATACACTTCCTGGGTACAAGTATATGAATGAACTGACAAAAGATTACCGGATACGGATGCCTGACGAGCAGCAAGAACCGCGAAACCGGTCGTGTGCTTCCAGGGGAAATTTTGTCCAGTCATTCACATATAGAGTTTCGATGTGGCTTGTAAATGATTAGAATCAATAACCTTTTTCTCTAGTTTATAAATTGGTATTGAATTCACTTTTAATAGCTCCCTCCTCCTCTATAATCGTGCAAAAAGTAGGGAAGTCGCCACCATGACCAATGCATTTGATAATCACTATAAATTGATTTATCGTCTCTGATTTGATTCCACACCATCAATTTTCCCCTCACTGCTTTTCCCTCGTTTTCTTTTGGACAGTGTTATGCAGGAGAGGGCGGGCGGGCAGCGGAAGGTGCAAATTCAGGAACCGGTTACGGAAAATGTGTAAAACACCGTCTGTCGGCTTTTTACCATCCCATGATTCTGTCATTGTTCGAATAAACCATCGTTACACATTGTTAGAAGAACACATAGTAACGAGCAAGCTCGTTCACGGTGATTCATCTATAGGTCAATAGATCGCAATTTATGTCAAAAGTTTAGCAGCGGGGGCTAGGGTGCGGGGGGGGGGAGAAAATATGACAAAATGGAGAAATAAATAATCAGTTTTCCAGCTCCATGACCGGATTTGGCTCACATGTTGATCATCAAACACGTATTAGTTTGAGATTTTAGGAGCTAGCGAGGGGAGGAGCGGGTTATGTAGGCCGATTCCGATCACTTCCGCTGTGGCCAGAATGCTACTGTCGTAAACTGAACTGTTCTCAGCCCATCAACTCATTTTTCCCATAACTTTACATTTATGCATAAATGTCTGATGCAATATGTATGCGAAATAAAGTTCTGATCATGAGTGCCTTTGTTCTTCACCGCGATTCAGTAACTTTTCTGGACCTAATCAGATTTCTGTCTTGACCGATCGTTCGTTGTTTCTATGCTTCTTTTCTTTTTAGGCAGCTTCCCTCCGCACCAACAGAGATGCAAATAACACTTTGGGCTGTGTTTTTCACCATCACATTTGGCACATTTTTCCAATACGGTTATCACAATGGTGTGATCAATCAACCTTTGGGAGTAAGATTCTTGTTCTCTCTCTATCTGTTTTTGTCACCTCTAACGGTTTCATAGCTTGTCTCCGATTTCATCAAAAATGTGACCGATGAACGTGNGGTGGGATCTCGTTGACAATGCTCACATCCCTATGTGTCAGTACCTATCTGATAGGTGGACTTTTTGGAAGCTTTTTGGGTGGCTATATGAGTAATAAATTGGGACGGTAAATCGTAACTCTTCTCGGTTGTGGTCAACGTCATTGTTCTGGATTCTCCTAGACGAATGTCCATCATCATTCTGTCCGTTCCGTGTCTCATCGGTTGCACACTACTCATGCTCTGTAAACTGGCTCGATCATACGAAATGATCATCCTCGGTCGACTGATCGTGGGGCTTGCTTGTGGNNCTGCGATCGCACCAGCCTATATGAATGAGATCTCCCCTAAGGTTATTCGTGGTGCTGCGGGGACATTGAATCAACTCGTGTGCGTGTTTTCCCTCGTCTTGTCCCAACTGTTGGGTTTGCATCAAGTGATGAACACCAGAGATTTGTGGCCGTTTCTATTAGGTACGGTGTCTCGGACTTCCTGCTTCACTTTCTCATCTTCTGGTAGGACTGAATGCCATCCCCTGTGTTCTGACAAGCATCGCTCTGTTTTTCGTCCCAGAAAGTCCACGCTATCTGTATCTAGTGCGAAATGATGAACAGTCTGCCAGAGCAGGTACGTACGTTCTCGGTCCATGTCTCCAACACGTTCACCCCCCCCCTTGTTTAGTTCTTCACAAAATGGGACGTTCTGCCGAGGAGGCACAAATCGAGCTCGATGAAATGTCCAAGGAGATGCAGACAGCAACCCAAAAGGTAAACTGTTCTATCTCAGTTCGATTGAACTGCACTCGTTTTTTCTCTTAGATGTCATTGGTCACTTTCTTCCTAATTCCCCATCTGCGGTGGGGACTTGTGGTTGCACTGGTCATCCAGGTCTCACAACAATTCTCGGGAATCAACGGAGTGAGTTCCCGTATCCCGTGTGATGTTCATGAAATTTGATTAATGGTTGCGTGAAATCTCGGTTTATGGAATTCCAGTTTATGATCCGTGGATAGTCATTTCTGTCGCACAGGAAACGCATGCTGTTGTAACATTCTTGTGCCCAGTGTTGTGCCACGAAATGGGATAGTGAATCACAGTTACTGCAAACTGATCTTTTTAGCAGGATTTACAATTCTAACCATCGATCATCGACATCGGAATGTTGTTGTACTATCCACCCTAATCAGAGGTTGTCATAGCTTCCTTTGCATCTCACGGAGTCAGTTCGAGACAAGCGTCTCTCACCACCCTGTGTGTGTGTGTGTGCATGTAGTTCATACGCGTCTGAATCCAGAGTATGTGCCAAACAATTCATAGTACGCTTATCTTTTAAAAAGGAGAAAGTTCCATGAGTTGTTTGTGGGTGCGAGTTGCCTAGACCAAGACAGGTGAATCTTCATGGGGAATTCACAACCGGAGCCTGCAGTTATCCAAAGTCTAAGGCAGCAGGTCGGCGGTAAGTGAAAACCGCAATCNCCATTGCCACAATCAGGAAGTTGTGGGTGAGTGTGTTGTTCGTTCGTCTCTTCTTGTTTGGTTTCGAATCAGAGTGTTTAGCAAACCCTCTTAGGTGAACTACCAGTCGTTCACTGACCCGGTTATATCCCCAGCTGTTGTCGTTTTTTTCATCCTCTTACTTTGGTAAGAAAACCGCCACGAGAAGGCAGTGAGTGGAACTTCCTCAGCATAGGCTATTCGGTCGAAATTAGGCATTTCATGAAGTGCACGGGAAGGGTTATCAATCACCGAAACCA